GAAAATGCCTCACGCTGAAAGGATACATTGCACGACCGAGGTGCAGATAAATCCAAGCTGCCGGAGAGAGTCTTTATGAGGAGGGAAGGTCCCCTGACAAAGCCTAGGTTCCTTTTGAGGGAGAAGAGTTCATTGCAGTCAGTAAGTTCGCAGGAAGCTATTATGTGTACGGTGCTTCGCCTAGCACGACGGGGGCAGTGGGGGGCAGCGGAGGCAGGGCGGCTCTGCTCTCCTCAGCCCCCCCCCCCCCGTTCCCGTCCCCCCGGCAGATATCCGCCTGGAGACCTGCTTCCTGAGGTACGAGGACGAGGAGTGCACCCTGCCCGTGGTCGGCCGCCACCGCATGGACGCCTGCTGCTGCTCCGTTGGGGCCGCCTGGGGCACCGATGAGTGTGAGGAGTGCCCCGTGAAAAACACCCCTGAGTACGACGAGCTGTGCCCCAGAGGATCCGGCTTCGCCACCAAAGAAATTACAAATGGAAAACCTTTCTTCAAAGGTGGGTGGTCTCAGTGGTTGATGGCTCCTTTCTTAGATCCACCCAGGGTGCATGTGCACGAGCCCAGAGTCCCACTGACAGAATTACCATCAGTCTGGTCACCCCTTGATCACCTTAGTTGTGCATTCTTTGCTTTGTGAATTTTACACAGTGTTCACCCTGTCACAAGTTTTCTTTTTCTACATCTCAGGACTTCTGAGGATCTGGTCACTATTAAGTGTTAAAGTAGATTTTAATACTACCCGAATGCTAAGCATAAATGAAAGAAAGATCTTCCTGGAAAAATTTGAAGCCATCGGCTAACGCCCTAGATGTAAGCTCTGTCTGCTGATGTGAAGCATCCACGTCACTGTGGCCACCTGAGTACAGATAATGGCACGACAAACCCAGTGGCAGGTCCTCTTTGTCCAGATACAGCCTCTTTGTGACAGACACACTCCAGTGACGTAACAATATTTCACATTTCATTTTACCATGCTCTAATATAAAACCCATGTAAAAAATAAGAAGTTAAAGATTTAATCTAATTCCAAAATTGAGTTAACTTCTTAATGCACAATGATACAGAACTTGTTTACTTTGGCACATGGAAAAAGCATACTTGGCGTACTCAGGATTCCAATTATTCAGGGAGGCCCAGCTTATGTTCCCAGTATATATAGTTTTCTGTTGGTTGCCCATTGTGACTGGACCTGCTTATTATACTTATAACTAAATGAACTTCTACAAATGGGAAATGAGTATAGAAATGTCACGTAATTAACCTTACATAAAAAAGACATTTTTATATAGACTTTTTTTTTTCTACTGAGCATTTGGTTCAAGAAGCCCTGGTTAAAACTGTACCATCTAGAGAGACAGCTTCTAGCTTCTCTTAAGTAAATTCAGAGGAACCTGAATGATTTGCTTCCAAAGGCTGTGGCAATCCATTGCTGCAGAAGGACTGGACGGTCTTGAGGGCTGATCTGCCAGTTCTGTCTCTCCTGACATTTGGTGAAAACGCACTTGTGTGTCTTGAGCTCTTGCTGTTGCTTTGGAAAGGCCCCTATAAGGGGAAATTCAGATCACATGTTACATATGCAGTCTCTATGTGTACAAGAACTCTTTTAATTACATTAATGAAACCTTCGTATTAATTGAGAAAATATTTTAAAGTAGCATACATTATTTGAGAAAATGTTTTAAATGGTATACACTGTTTGCAAATAGTTTAAATTACAAATGGCACCTCCTTTGAAATTCCAGTAATTTAAGTATAAAAAAAGCATCAAAAAGTACAAATGAATATCTCATTCCACTGCATACTCAACTGGTTGCTGTGGGGCAATATATTTGAAAATCTTCTACACATTTTTAAGCATAGATGCTTGTGGTTTAGAATTTTCATTCTTTCCTTCAGCAAATAGTTCAGCGTTTGGTGTGCTGGGCGCTAGAAGTCCAAGTAAACAGGCTCTTTACTTCTTTAATAATACTTCCTAAACTGTAATAGTTTAAAAATCTAGAACTGTTCACAAAGTCCTGTCTCTCATGGATCAGCACACATTTTTTTCTCCAGTAAGTATTACCACGTCCTTCAGTGAAGACCCTCTAACTTGCTGGGTGTAAAATGGGGCCTTGGGAACTCCTAGTTGGTTGCTTCTGAACTTTCCCCACGTTTTCTTTTTCGTGAAGATATCAACGAGTGCAAGATGATCCCCAACCTCTGCACCCATGGCAAGTGCAGAAACACCATCGGCAGCTTCAAGTGCAGGTGTGACAGTGGCTTTGCTCTGGATTCTGAAGAGAGGAACTGCACAGGTCAGTGAAGGGGCTCTCCCCTGGGGGGACGCCCTTGGGAACTCTTTGTCTTTAACATGTTGCCACAAGAAGTAAAGCTACTCCGGCACTCATTTGCTGCCACTTACTGCTGTTTTTTTTTTTTGGTCAGACATTGATGAATGCCGCATATCTCCCGACCTCTGCGGCCGAGGCCAGTGCGTGAACACCCCAGGGGACTTTGAATGCAAGTGCGATGAAGGCTATGAAAGCGGATTCATGATGATGAAGAACTGCATGGGTGAGTGTGGGACCATTCCATCGCACAGCACAGAAAAAACCCGAGAAGCTTTGGTGACTCACCGCCTGTGCCCCAGGTTCTTCCTGCTCCCCCAGTGCGCTGGTCTCCTGACCAGTGAGTCAGGGACTGGTCTGTGGCAGACAGAAACTGACATGTGGAAGGAATGCGGGAATTCGTGCTGTGGGGCGGTGGGGAGCCTCAGACACCAGTCACGGCTCCCAGGGAAGTGAGTCTAACGCTCGGAATAGACACCCCAGGCACGAAAGAACAATCCAAACGTAAGCTGTGTCGGGGGTCACATAAGAGGGTTTCTGTTCATCATTTCTAGAAAAGGAGATTGATTAAGATAGTTGCGTTAGATCGTGTTCCCTAGAAACAAGCCTGAGGTGGGGATTTTTTTTCTCTCTCATTTTTTAAATTGAAGTATAGTCGATTTACAATATATTAGCTTCTGGTGTATAGCATAGTGCTTCATGGATACATAGGTGTGTATATACATATACATATACATATATATATATATATTCTTTTTCATATTCTTTTTCATTACAGATTACTACAAGCCATTGAATTTAGTTCCCTGTGCTATACAGTAGGACCTTGGGGTTTATCTGTTCTGTATGTAGTAGAGATGGGAATATTTTTCGAGGGCGTACTCTTAGGAGGAACCCGTAAGGAAGTGAGGAAAGCAGCTTAGGGCAGGGGAAGAAGAGAAGCAAATTGTTCAGCTGCACTTTAGCTTCACCCAGATCCCACAGGGGCCTTGGAGTGTGAATGGCACCAGGGTTGTCCCGCGTTGGGGCGAGGAGGCCGAGATTTCCTACTGCCACGTCAGCTCAATCAGCTGTCGGCCGTGGGCAGCCCCCAGCGTGGGAAGGGGGACGTAGCCTCTCACCTGACTGAGGTGGACAGCAGTTCTCCAAGAGGGGAGCCTGTGATCCAGCCAGGACTCTCAGCACTCGGGCGGTGGGCAGTGAGCGCGCCAGCCTGGTCACGGGGACCTGGGCAGGACGCCACCCGCACCTCCAACAGGGGTCGCTTCCATTTTGCAGATATCGATGAGTGTCAGAGAGACCCTCTGCTGTGCCGAGGAGGCGTTTGCCTAAACACTGAGGGAAGTTACCGCTGTGAATGTCCTTCTGGTCATCAGCTGTCCCCCAACATCTCAGCGTGTATAGGTAAGGAGGAAGCCACTTACCTGTCGTCAGTCGTTCAGCCCGCATCTCTGCCAGAG